GTGAGTCTGGTGCAGAGTTCTCAGCATCCTCTTAAAGTGGAAGTTACAAAAATCTTTTAAGAAAAGATTAATGAATGAGGCCCAATAAGAAGGAACATGCTGATCTTTGTTTTGTGTTTGCAGTTACTTCCCCACAGAAGTAGCTCCTCTTTAAGAGCCACTGCATTACAATATATTTGATTCTAACCTGCTCCTCTGTCCCCAGCCTCCTCTGCCCCGCCCCCACACACTCTGGACATCCCTCTGATTGGTTCATCCGTGCACATCGCTCGCAGCTCCGGCAGAATCCTCCTGGACCTGCTCCAGACCCGGTTTCACTGCGAGGCCCAGATCCTCGGTGTAGACCTGGACTTGGGCCCAGGGCAGAGATCACACATAGTCCCTGACAAACGCTTCGAGACCACACTGTCCTCTGGTGTCCGAGTGTCCGTGTGGAAAGCGGATCTGGGAAACTTCTCGGCTGTGGCTGTGGTCAACGCGGCCAACTCAAAGCTCCAGCATCACGGAGGTCTGGCCCTGGCTCTGTCCACCGCAGGAGGACCACTGATTCAAAAAGAGAGTGATGATCATGTCCAGAGCTGGGGAGAGGTGAAGACAGGAGAGGCCGTGGTTTTGGGAGCAGGAAATCTTCAGTGCAAAGCTGTTATTCACGCTGTTGGCCCTCACCTGTCCTTCAGACCCAATCACCATGAGGTTTCATTGGCTACAGGTCAGCTGGAGAGAACCATCAAGAGTGTGCTGGAAATAGTGGAGAAAAAACAGTTTGATACAGTGGCAATTCCAGCCATAAGCTCCGGAATTTTTAACTTCCCGCTGTCCGAATGTGCAGAGGTGATAGTCAGCACGGTGAAGAAGTTCTATGGAAGTGACACGTCTCACAGGTTTGTCTCTAAATAAATGCTCAGTAATCAGGGTTATTTAGGCCATAATGTTAAGTAATGAATGTATTTTTGTGCTTATTTTGTAGTGAACATTTGTGTAAATATGTCAGTTTTTAACTGTGTTGTTGTATCTATGTATCTATGCTCCAAAAGATGATAAAAAGCTTTACTACTACAGTATTTTGTGTGATGAGCTGGACTTATGCTGGACTGGTGTGATTAGATAAAGCTGCTCACAGACAGAATGTGATGAGACGAAGTGAAGGAAGGATTTGTATCTGGGGTCAATGATCATGAAATCAACACTGTATAACTTTCTTGAGGTGGCGTGTCACCTGCATGACTCCATGGAAACAGAAAATTAAAACCAGAGCAGCCGGTCCCTTACCGGTGTGAAAAACCTCTAATTATTCTTCTAATCAGTATCTCCTTTCCAAAACTCTTGTTCAAAACCAAATATATCACTTCTTTTACCTAAGATAAGTAATAGTTTATGTTGTTTTTCTCCTTGTTTCTATGTAAGTAGCCGTGTTTGTTTGACGTAAACAGAGCATGCGTCTCTCTCTGATTGGTTAATCCGCCTGTCAATCATGCCCTCTTAAATCAGGGAGACAGGAGACGGCTCCAGATCCACTTGTCTTTGTAAAGTTTTGTCAGAGCATGTGTTTCTGGCTGGTCAGATAAATATTTTTTCTATGGAGATGGATACATTTTATATCATACTGTGTGGAATATTATAGCTAAATGCAGGTGTGTCAAACTTATTTTGGTCCGGGGGCCGTATCCAGCCTACTTTGATCCCAAAGAGGCCGGGTCAGAAAACTCATGTCATATAAACCCCAAAAATAACAATAAGTTCAAATATTTGTGCAGAGAAATGCAAATCTATTACAGAAATCTTTTTAAATTGATGAACTCTTATTATAATATTATAATATTACGAACAACCTGAAACTTTAAGAAAAATTAAATTTCAACACAATGTTTTAACATGAACTTACATGCAAATAGGAATAAGTACATTTTTCTCATTTTGGCCATTTTTCTGATGAGGGTGTCATGGTCAACAGTCAAAACAATCGTCCTTTAAGAGCGTTTGGAAAGAGACAAGTCTTCATTTGTGCTGCTCTGGTGGGAGGGGCCACGCACAGAGGTGCTGGAGACACTGCTATGCTGAGTGGTGCAGAAAATTACCAATATTTTAATAGAAAATATAATTAAAATATTTTAGGAGAAAATCACCCAAGGGCCACATTAAAGGTCTTGGAGGGCCAGATCTGGCCCCCAGGCCTTATGTTTGACACCTGTGGCTAAAAGCATTTCCATGCAGCAGAAGGCCTTTTCTCCAGGCCAAATAAGAGTCAGGTTTGTGGAGACACATGTCCACTCACAGTAAGGACACATTTTTTTTCTATGTTTTTCAGATCAATAAAACACCCGGAAAAAAAAATATTATATTATTTATTGATTTATTTATTTTTACACTGTGTGTTTTTAATCTCTGTTTCTTACTCAGGTTTAAGCCCAAAGAGGTTCTGCTGGTGAACAATGATGACCCCACAGTGGAGGAGATGAGGCGGGCGTGTACCAGGCTCCTGCTCCCTGCCCTGTGTCCTCAGCCAGGCAGCAGCAGCAGGAAACTCACCCCTGACCAGAGGAGCAGCTAAAAGCGACACTACTCCTCCTTTTCCCCAAGTACAGTTAGGAACAGTGCGGGTGGATTCCTGAGGAAGGGAAACCTGGAGGAGCAGAAGGTATGAGATGTTTTAAGCATTCCTATACAGGGAGAATATATCATCAAAATAAAAAATTCATGGATACAGTTGTGTACATAAATCCAAAATGGCCCCACCGAAAAGAGAAAAGGTTATATTTCTGCTTTTCCTTTAGTCTTAAATTTGTTGTATAATATAATTTTTCTACTTTTTGATACAAGGAATTCAATTTTGATATATTCTTTCTTATATTTTAAGTCAATTTTTATGTTAGATCTATTATCATAGTTATATTTAACTAAAATAAACTTCTATATCTATAAAAAGTTACATTTATACTCAGGGCCCTAGATCATAGTTTTAAACCTCTAAGGTGCTTTCTTTGTTGACTGGACAGTCACTATGTGGTGTGTTGGAGCAGTGAATGCATCAATCTCTACTGCGAATCCAATTCGCTTTGGATAAAAATGTCTGCTAAATACCTGGTTTAACCTTTAACTATAGTGTCAAAGGTCACATGTGGTGAGCTAAAGACCATTGTCCTGGTCCATGGTGCCAGAGTATCCATGTTTAGAATCAGAACATGTGCACCTTCCCTGGGTCAGACTAGCCAGGCTGGGCCCCTGGAGCTTCTCTGGTACTCTGGCTCCAGCGGGTTAACCCTAACTTCTGGTGAGGGGACTCCTGTCCTCTACCAGTGACAGGAGCTTTCCGTAGGTTAGACTAGTAAATTTAATTCAGTTCAAAAAGTTTATTGTTAATTTTATTATTGTATTAAGTTCTTTAGAGACACAGATTCCTGCTTCCCTGGCAGCCTGGTGGTTATAGAGGGAGAGAGTTCAGCATCTAACAGCCTTCTGGATGAAGCTGTTAATGAGTCTGTGGCTCCTGTATCTCCTCCAGAGGGCAGGGCTGAACAGATTGTGCTGACCACGGCAAATGCGAGGGTTAAAGTAAATTTAAAGCACTAATTAGCACTAAAAGCACAGTCTTTCTGGACCTGGGCTCTTTCACATGACACAGATCTGCCCCAGGAGCACATTGTGCTGATGGTAAACTGCACCAAATACAACAATAGAGCATGCTGTCTGTGATTTTGATGAGGAATATGTGCCTACACTTGCGTAGAGCGTAAAAAAATAGGATGATCCTATTTTCTGAAATCTACGTGCGCATGACGCACTGCTCCATAAGCGCTCTAGCATGTACAGTGGAGCATAGGTCATTAGCTCATTCACTTTCCATGCATTCTAAAACTTACGCACAAAAGTTGCAGTTTTACGCTCCGCGTCGGGCGAAATACGCACATGCAGTGAAGCCAGGCCCTAAACATGGGATCGTGTGGCTGGTCCCGAGTGATGCAAAACATCCAACAGAAGCGCGAAAACCCATTTGGTTAGTTATATGATGTTCTGAGCGTCCGTCCTCGCACATTGGCTCTCCCAGGGAAAGCGCTCTTGGGCCGTGGCACCTAACACACTCCTCGACCTGATCGGAGCTGCTCCTGCTGGTTCAGGACTCTGTTTGGACCGCTATTCCCCAGTTTGTATGGCGTACCTCCATGCATAACGACAAACCAAGATGACAAAAAAGCGGTAGCAGCTGAAGTTGTGTTTTCTTCAGTCGACGTAAATACGTTGGCGTGCCTGTCCAATCAGAACCCTTCCCCATCCCCAGACGCTGAGCAGAATTAAATAAAGACGATTTAACGTGTTTCCATGTAAAGGCAACACGTTTGCAGGTATGTGACCCTGGGGCCAGAGCACCAGAGATGCTCCAGAGGCTACTCCTGGTGCTAACCAAGAACAGGGTGCCTTTCCTGGGTCAAATTAGTCAGCTGTACTCCTGGAGCCTCCCTGGTACTCTGCCTGGCAAATCCAAGAAGACGTCCCTGGCAGAATTGTGATCTGGTACTTTTCCGCAGCAAAATTTGGTGATCATTACATTTTGCAATGGACTCTACAACAGGTTTTCAAAATTGAGTGAATGTGAGCCTCTCTTTAGAGTAGGTAAAGACAGCTGCTCCCCCTTCCCCAAAATCCCATCCGCCTGTCCCCCACAACAGGCCTTTGAAGTAAATGTATCTTTTGTGTTTCTGATGAGTTTCAATAACAACTGATGAAATTTTTTTAAATATGTATTTTCATATATTTTTTAAAGTGAATTCATATATGATTTTTGCAACAGCAAATCATTTCCAACTTCATGCAGCCTAATTGAGATCTTTTATCATCACTGAACATTAGTAAGACACCAGGACTAATCTTGAACTGAGAGATAGAGAGGGAGACTCCGAGCCCACGGAAGCAGGGTGTCTGCAAAGTGCGACTGGGCAAACGACTGCACTTAGCATCTTGGGTCTGGTTTTGTCCTGCTGGTTAGTCCTGGTTTGTTCTAGTTTAGTTGTCCTGGTTTAGTTCTGGCATGTGTCACTTCCTAGTGGGTCTTTGGTGCCTCCCAAGGAGGCGGGCCTCACCTATTGAAAACTGCTGCACTACAACATTCGAGTAAAACCATCTGAATCCGATGGCAAAACTTGGGTAAAACTGGTCGAACACATTCTGGAGCATTTCATAGAAGCAGGAAACAATTTCTGCACCTTATTTGACTTGATTTCAGAAAGGCTTTTCCAAAATGGTATTTTTTACACTAGAATGATGGTCACATTTCAGTATTATTCTTTAAGGATGAACATGTGGGTTTAGAGGCTGAATGATCTTTATACAATATGTTATTTCATTTCATGGATATGGACCCATTTTTCAAGCAAAAAGTGACCATTAAACAATAATTTTACATGAAAATGGCCTTGAAATAGGAAGATAATATTGAAATCACATTCCTTTTAATCCTTTTATCTTAGCAGCCACATTCCTTCTTAAATGACAGTTACATTTAATTTACATAAAAATGTATATGCATTTAGGAGCTCAGTGCGGTGCGAGCAGGGCTGTTACTGTGGGCCCTTATGGAGAGCACTGGGACTGGGACAGACTTGAGACTGTCACTGCAGCTTGTATAAAGGCTCACATACTATTTTTACTATTTTATAGGAAATAATTTAAGAAAATATGTAACTTACAATTATGGAGGAATTTGAATTTTTTGTTGGCATTATCAGAGTATTAATATTCTAAAACAGTAGAATTTTTTTTCTTACGAGTGACTGACTATTTGTAGGATTTTTTTCTTGCAGAAGAAACATTTTCCCTTAAGAAAAAAATTTGTGAATGCCAGAAATGTTTCATAAGATTTCCTTAAGTACAAAATGTGTTCATAAAACACTTCATGAATGAAGCTCAGTGTGAGTAATACTATGTTGGATGATCTCTCTGGTTTCAGATGGATGTGATCGTGAACACCATTGGGCCGGATAGAAATCTGAGCATGGGCCAAGTGTCCAAGATGTTGTTGAAGAAAGCTGGCCCCAAATGCAAGACCAGATCAAGCAGGCCCGCTCCAATGGTCTGTGATCATTACACAGGGCTTTAAGTTAGACTGTAAAGAGGTCTACCACACCTGCTGCCCCGTCAAAAAGCAACTTCAGATCTGACCAGGTAATTAATACATGATGGGACATACTGTATGTAAGGCTATGGAAGGGTGTTTAGTTACTCAAACCTATTCTTTTGCCTAGACTTGTAATCATGTTGTAGTAGTTTCTTCTCACTGACCTCTGAACTTGGTATTTGGAGTGATTTGTGCATGTTATGTGTCATCTTTATTCTCCTGGATTCAAACACATCACAGCTTTGGTCTCCTCATTTTCAGCTCCACCTGTACACTCTCACTGTGACACACACACTCCCTTCTCAAGTTTATTTTCTTAATCGGTGATACATGTAGGATTCAACTGCGTCATGTTGTCATTTTGGCACAAATGCAAAAAATGCAGCTCACTAGTTTGATGTGCAGCTCTCCATACGAGGGGCGACAGCAGGCGGCGCTTTGTTTTCATGACTCCTAAAGTAGAAGTCAGCAGACTTGTTTCTTTTATGAAATTGTTTTAGATGAATATTGTGATTTAAAAATGTCCAGATTATAAAATAATGATCCATAGGTGTCAGAGATTAGAACTATAACAGACACAAGCACAGTAGGTCTGCTTAAATATATTATTAATACATGATCACATGTATATAATGCTATGGGCGGGCGTTTAGTTACTCTTTAATACATAATATATTTTGTGTCTTTCAGGTGTTGTTCAAGTCTGTACAGGACTGTCTGTGGCTGGCAGTAGCCTCTCAGCACAGCTCCATCGCGTTCCCGGCCATCGGCACTGGGAATTTGGGCTTCGGGGATGAGGAGGCAGCTCAGATCATGCTGAATGCTGTGTGGGACTTCTCCCAAAGATCAGTTTTCCTATAGAAGTACACTTTGTCATCTTCCCTCAGACAGGAATCGTTTCAAGGTATCAACACCAGCAAAGGCACGACTTACTCACATTGAGACTGTATTTGTGTCCTTTGCAAGACACTTCACCACTGAGTCTGAAAGAGATCTGATTGTTGATACGTACATTAATCATATTCTATTTTTGCTAATTAAAACTGTTTTGTGAAATATCTTAAAAGGTTCGTGGGAAGTAGTCACAACCAGGCAATCACTATTTCACATCAATCAATGCCAGCACACAATGAAGCTAGAGTAAACGTGTCTGTCTATTCCCCGCTTAACATTGTTACAACAAGCTAGAATAAATGTGCCTGTTTATTCCCCGCTCAATAATTGTTACAATGAAGCTAGAACAAATGTGTCCGTTTACTCCCCGCTTAACATTGCTACACACACAATGAGGCTAGAATAAATGTGTCCGTTTACTCCCCGCTCAACATTGCAATCATCACACAATGAGGCTAGAATAAATATGTCCGTTTATTTCCCCGCTCAACATTGTTACAATCATATCAATCAATCAATGGGTTTAAGCATCAATCATCACACAAACTGGCACATAAGAAAATCAAACTCACCGTTGACACTGGGCTGGAGAGCCAACAACCCACGGCAGAGTGGCTTAAACCCGGCTGGGCGTTCGTACGTAACCCGCAGCAGACTCTAAAGTGGGTGCTTTCCCTCCGCCTCTATATATTCTCTTCATGCACCTGTGCGTGCAGAGAGGGCCAGTCTCCACCGCGCACACATACATGGAGGCGCATTCCTGTCCCATGTCCAGTCTTCTGAGACTGGCAATGGGGCAGGATGCCCTGTTTTTCGTAAACACAGTGTCCTTGGCACAATCCCCTACTAAAAGATAGCGAGTTGTATAAGCATAATATTGACTTCGTGCAGGCATGCAGGCCTAGTGAATTGGTCTCAGGACCATCTTATATGTTCCCACTACATTCCACCCTGTGGTCCTGTGATCAATTCATAAAGGCAGAGGAGTCCAAGTCATCATTAATATGTAAATATTGCAATATAAAATCATATAAGTGCCTTCTTTCTTCAAAAGTGAAACGGCGTTGCCAGTAATTCTGGTTCTGCCACCACGTCAGTTGTAGTGTATGAAGCTCAGGATTATCTGGCACCACCTCAACATGTATAATGTCACGCCCGAAGGCCCCCTCAGTGATTGTCATTATGATCTTCATGGTGCAAAATTATATAAAGTCCGTGCAATATGTCGTCTGAGCCGAGTAATGCGAATCCAAGTAAGCACGTTACAGCACGTTAAAGCAGCAATAATACAAATCAGTATAACAAGTGGCGGCGCTAGCAGCCGACGGGCAAAGGGTGATAGCCCCGTGAAGATGTCATACCAGTGACTAGCGGAATTTTGCTCTACCAATTTCGCCACCGCCTCCACTTTCTTTGATTGGAAGAGAGTTGTCACCTGTAACTTGGACACGGCATGATCGTGTTGATTGATCATGTCTTTCAGATCTTTGGACGATTCCAGCGCGCTTTGGAAGCGTTCCAAAGATATCCCCAACTTGGGTTGCTGTAATTGAGTCCACTGCACCTCTGTGAAATCACTGAGTGTGGAGTAATTTGTCAATCGATATGTAATGTTGTGCCAAGTCCAGACATATACATTTCTCAAACAACCAGAGAAAGGTGTGCAAGGAAGTTGAGGATGTTGATTCATTGTCACTACACACAAAGTGTGAGGACCTAGCTGGAATAACAAATCATCGGGTTTTTGATAGTCCCAATCACACAAGGCGTTTTCTTCTTTCAGGCATGGGTTGGTATAAGCTGACCTAAGTGGGCATACAACACCTTTGTCCATTTCATCACATCCTGTTAAATCATAAGTCACATTTTTAGCGGCGTCAAGCCACTCCCCTTTGGTCCTCAGCACCCAGTATGCGTTATGACTTATAACTGGGAGCATGTGGAATCGACAAATTACATCATAGTTGGTCACATTGTATTGTATCCATTTTCCCCAACACATAGTATCGTTGCATTTGGTTCCTTCAGCATATAGACGTAGCCACCAGGCATCGGAAATGTTCCAATGATGCCTCCAATCATTAGCATTGTTGTTTGTCAAAATTCTTTGAAATCGTTCCTTTTGATGTAGTACGTGTAAATGCTGAATAGAACATATAGTCCAATTAAGTAGACCAGTTACATTCATGAACACGTCATCAGTAGTATTCCAAGCATTCATATTTATTTTATACAGTTTTTGCCATAGTTGAGCATTATGCACTTGTGTTGCCACTGCCGCAGGCATCCACTTAGCAATAATGTCCAGTCCCTGTCCGGTATATTGTCCAGTGTAGTGTAACTTGTTAGTTACAATCTGATGTTGGCAGTTCCCATCAGGGAGCCATAGCCTCCCAACAGTGTGTCATACCATGCGCGTTTTTGAATACGGCACGGCGGCATAAACGGGAATCGTACTGTCCAATGTACCTTGATCTTTTGGAGACCTGTCGCCATTGGTTGACAGGTTCCTGGGATTGGCACGGCATGTGCCACTTCATGCTTAGGAGATCCGGGCACCACATCCACTCGGTACCCGAAAATAGTCCGGTTCGTGATAACCGTAGCGTTGGCTATCCACAGTTCTGGTTCGTTGGTTGTTACTGTCCACTGCGTCCCATTAGGGAACTGACAGGTGTGGTTTTTCCACACACACAAGTTAACTTTACTCTCCACCGTGATCTGGCAATGTTGTTGCACCAGGGGAAAGGGTCTCCCCCCCACTATGTGTAGCCACATAGTGCAGTTAGATGTGATGTTGGCCACCAGGCATTGTTGGGCGTTCGAACAGGAGAAATTGTCCTGTTGACGTGATACAGCGGCATTCTTCCACCATAAACGGAAAGTTTTAACCGGGGTCAAGGGATAGCCGGTCACTTCTCCGTCCACCAGAGGGGTGTAGAGGAGCGTACCCAGTAGCAGCAAGGCATCAGGGACACCCAGGAGAGTGCCCAAACAGCCGGCACCTCCAATCAGCCGGCGGGCCATATCGTCTGCGGGGTTGGTCGGTGGGTTTAGTTCCAATCAATCTCCGCCAGAACTCCAGCATCACCTGAAATAGTAGCATAGCTCACAACACGTTATGTTATTGCCTAGGATAACAAGTATCCGCCGGCACATTGACCCATTTATCCTGTCCTGGAAACATGACAGTAACTATTTTGTCTTGTCCTTGGGCTATGATTTCTGCAGGTTTTGGGGGTCCAGATTGTTGTTTTACCCAGACCTTGGCCCCAGCTTTGTCTGTGGAGCCAAATCCACCCCGTCCCCGGAGTGTGATCTCTGTCGGTGGAGTAATCTCCGTTGGAGTAGACAACAAACAGGGTTTAAGTACCAATTGTGCAATTTTGTCTCCTCTATTAATTACCACAGGCTCCTCATTAATGTTTAGCATGACCACTCCAATTTCTCCTTGATAGTCCCCATCAATAACCCCGGCCATCGTGGTCACTCCTTTAAGTGCCCACCCTGACCGTGGTAAAATGTGTCCAAATGTCCCTTTGGGACATTGCAGTCCCAGTCCTGTCTGAACCACAGTAGGTTTGTTTGAGCACAAAGTGGCAGGAGCAAGCGCTTTCAGATCTAAGCCTGCAGAGCCGGGTGTAGCTCTTATTGGCAATTGAGCTTCCGGATTAATTTTCCACATTTTGATAGGCCCAAAGCCATCGGTTTCTCTAATTACAAACATCCGATTGATCGGGGTCTGCCCTTCCCCTAGTGGACGATTATTCATTCGTTTTAGGACATCATATAGATGTGCTCTCCAATTGTCCAGACTGTTATTTCCAGAATGTCGTTTTAGTGCTCCTTTAAGTAGTCCATTCATTCGCTCAATCAGCCCTGCCCCCTCAGGGTGATAGGGCACATGATAAATCCATTCAACATGATGTTCTTCTGCCCATTGTTTGACCTTATGCCCGGTAAAGTGGGTACCATTATCAGTTTGTATTTGTATGGGTAAACCATAATATTGCTCAATCAGATTTAGGCATTTCAATGTAGCATTTTGGTTAGCAAATTTACATGGATGCACCACCAATAGTCCAGAATAAGTGTCTACTGCGGTGCACGCATGTCGACAGTTTTGTGATGTGGGCAGGGGGCCAATGAAATCCATCTGCCAGATTTGGGCAGGGGATTCTCCTCGGTGAATGTGTCCCATCAAATTTTGGGGCACACCGCGTTTTTGGTGCTGACAAGCTTCACAATGCTCAACAGCGGTTTTAACGTCATCAACTTTCAAATAGATTCCCCTGTCTCCTGCCCACTGCATGGTAGCCTGTATTCCCCAATGTCCTGCTTTAATGTGAGCCCATTTGGCCACATCAACCTGGTTTCCCACCATAACGGGCATAGTTTTCGCTATTTGATCAACCTGCTGATTGTACAGGGCCTCCAAACTGTGAGAGGTGGTGTGTGCGTCTACGTGCATGATATGGATTGTAACAGCATGAGCCCGCTCCCACAGTTCCTCCCACAATTGCTTACCCCATACTTCTCTGTTTTGAATCATCCAATTGTTGGCATGCCACGTAGGCATCCACTGCGTCAGTCCATTAACTCTGGACCATGAGTCAGAATAAATCCAAACTTCATTAATGCCTGCTTGTCTCACTACTAAATGTACTGCCTTTAATTCTGCCCATTGGCTACTCTTGCCTTCTCCCATCTCTTCTAACGTCACCCCCTGGACTGGATTCAATGCTGCTGCTTTCCAGTTCCGTTTACCAGCTCTCCACTTAGCAGAGCCATCTGTGAACCAAGCATGTTGCTTTTCAGCATCTGTCAGTTCATTAAAGGGCCTCCCCTCTTTGACTGGTGACTCGGTTATTGGCTTTATTTCAAAGCGAGTCTCTCCTTCTTGGGGAGCGTCCGCAACCTGCTCATGCAATACAGACACACCTTTGAGTCCAGACTTTACACGTTCAGACACGTACCATTTCCATTTGATCACACTACTCTCTTGGGCGGTCCCAATACGATG